ATACTTCCCTTAGATCTTTGACGTGCACGAAGGTGTCATTAGACTTGATGATTATGTCGTCAACATATACCTCTATATTCCTTCCTATATGTTTCTTCAATATCCACGAGCCTTTAATAAGTTGCTCTAATGTTCTTTAGGCTAAAAGGCATAACTCTATAGCAAAAATTAGCAAACTTGATAATGAAAGCCTTTTTTTTTCCTCATCTTGGGGATACATCCTGATATGGTTGTATTGAGAGTAAGCATCAAGAAACATTAGGATTTTGTGGCTTACTACTCTATTGACTAGCCTATTAATGTTCGATAGTGGATATACATCTTTCGGACAAGCCTTGTTTAAGTTGGTATAACCAATGCACATTCACCATTTGTCATTCAATTTTTTTACCATTACTACGTTCGTCAACTACGTCGTGTAATGCACTTCCCTTTTGAACCGTGCCTCGAGAAGTTTTGAGACTTCCATTTCAATAGTGACTTTCTACTTGTTTTCCATTTTTCTTTTCCTTTAGGTAATTGGCTTGGCCTCAAGGAAAATAAAGAACTTATGGCAAAGAAAATGGATCAATGCTTGGCATGTCCAATGGTATCTATGTGAACAAGCCTTTGTTCCTACCAATAGTTGTTTCTAAATGATAAGTGCTATGATTTCATTAAGTTTATGGCCTAGTTTGAAGCACTTATATCAGTTTTCCTTGCTTTAGACCTTGTTTTTAACTCAAAACATATCTAAATTGTTAGGTGATCACATTTTGTTTTTGAATCATATTTTTAGGTAACTTACAAGTATTTGGTTGTTGTTTTGTAGTTTAGGAAAAAGCTAGGAAAGAAGGAAGGAAGTCAAACACAAAATGGTGAATTCGAAGTTGAAGAAATTTTTTGTTTAAGTCCCCAGGCTAAGCCTCAGATCCACGCTTAGCCTTAACTTGGTAGAGAATCACTGGAACAAAAATTCAATCCTCACGCTGAGCGTGGAATTGGGGCTGAGCGTGGGAGTCCCAGAACCTCATTTCACTCTGGATCCATCCTCAAGCTTAGTGTGGCATCTCACGCTTAGCGTGGATTGTGCTGACATGTCATTATTCACATAAGACAAAAGCTTTTATGACCTAAAAGTGGGATTTTTGAGGAGAGAAGCAAGGAGAATCATTCTTGGAGTTTGTGTGGCGACTGGAGAGCTCTGGAACCTTCCAGATCAAACTTTTTCCTTTCTTCATCATTTGTAGAGTTCTACATGTTTATGTGTAGCTAAACTCTCCCTTGTTGGGGTTTGATGTAACTAAACTCATTCTCATGTGTAAACTCTAAGTGATCAATGTTAGTTGTTATTCAGTTTTATTGCTTTTTTTCTGTACATAATGCTTGTTATGGCTTGATCACCCTTAACTTGAACTTAAGGTTTTTAAGAGATTGAGAAATGATTTTAAATCTTTGACTTGAAATAGAGCAGCTAATGGTGCTTATTGCTAGAGATAGAGTAAATGTCATTGGTCTTTCTTAAGCTCTGGGTTTTAAAGCTAGTTTCTTGGTTAAACTATGCAAGAGATTGATAGTTTAAGTTAGCAACTTAGATGCCAACTTGTAAGAGATTAGGGTTGGTTACTTTTAAAAGTGATTGATAAATTCTGAATAATAACTATTGTGAACTTAGTGGTGAACATGAAAGGAAGGTTTAGTGAAGTCAAATCCCAACAATTTAGTAATATTTCATTATAATCAATTGTTTCACTCTAAGTGTTTACCAAAATACCAAAAGGAATTGTTATTACTTGTTTAGATTATTTACTGCAACAAATCAAATTCTTATTGCTTTTCGGTAACTTAGTTAGTATAACAAGTGAAATTGCAAAGTGTTGCGCAAGTCCCTTGGAAGATGATACTTATACTTTTATTGAACTACTTATACGATTTGGTACACTTGCCAAAGGAGATAACACTAAGCTCGTGCGATCCGATTTAGACAAAGTCACCCCAAGGTGAGTGACCTGCGATATCTCTTTACCTATTTGGAGAGGTTGTGTTTCTTTAGTGTGCTCAACCCATTTATCTTGCTCCATGTGGGGGTCGAGATCCATAATTGTTAGTGAGTTCGGCTTGGAAAAGGTTACCACGTTGATCCCTTTCATTTTTTCTTCTCTTAGAGTCCTCATGCGTAGGCTCACAAAATAACACTCTTGACCTACTTTTTGGTTAATGTGCACCATGAGAATTCTTTTGAATTTTGAAGGAAACTTCATTGTCAAATGAGGTGTTGACATTATCACCCCAAGAGCATTGAGGGAGGGTCGATTGAGCAGTATATTGTAACATATGTTTCCATGCACTACCACGTATTTAACTTGTACATCTTTATACTTTTTTTCATCAAAGCAAAAATGCATGAATAATTTAATACATCATTGTGTATTCACCCTCCCCCTAGAGAAACCAACAAAGGTTTCACCATAAGACATCAACTCCCTCTCAAATATCTCTAATTGTTGAAAAGATTTCTAATAGAGAATATCAATCGAACTCTCATGGCCAACTAGTATTTTTCGGATAATGCAGTTACGGGTCTCAACACTAATGAAAATTAATGTCAATTAACATTATTGTTGGCATATTATTCAAACAAGTTGAGTTTCAACGGCGCACATCATCCCAAATAGCTCTCAAATGTCTTTTTTGAGCCAAGGAGGTTGAACCTCACTTGCAACTATATTATATAATTTTTTATATATTTTTTCAAATATATTTATTATTTATATAATATGTATTTTATTTTATTTTAATTAATTTATGATAAAATTGTCACTTATATACTTCCAACTGAATGATTTTATTTCGTAATAAATACATGATGCCATTTAAATAAATCAAATTACTCAAACTTCACCTTTTGCCTTTTCATTATACCTATGTGCATTTTTTTTATTGTTTGCCTTTTGATGATACTTCTTTCATACTATTCACAATAATTTTACTTATTTTTAGTAAAAAAAATTATAACGATAAAAGGAGCTAGTTTTGTTTTTTAAAACTCGATAAAATTATATTCAATTGAATAATATCTAAAATATATGTTTACGTTCCATTTTTTAATTTTGTTAAATAACAATTTTTATTAATTAATAAACCCAAAATAAAATTATTATTCATTATTAAT